TTAATAAAGTAATATTTTATCAATTCCTTAATGTAACATTCATAGAATCTACCACACCAGAAGTTTTCACTGAATAGTGAATATTCATTTCTAAACATTATTCACGGTCTTCTGGCTATATAAGGACGTAATAAACATTAAAGTGTTGATGTGATGAGAAAAAATTTTATTTCAAACAACTTTATCGTGGAGGAATAATAATGATCTCTTTGAAAAATGGCCCCAGTTTTCAATTAAGAACTGGTTCAGTGCGTATTTATATCAATATACTATAATTTAGTAAAGGTCATTTCATATACACCCTACGTCACTAAAAATTACATCACATTAACGAAGGCATAACAATGGTAACTTTACTCACTGCAAACATTCTTCGGTAGGCAGAATAAAAAGACAAAAATGCCAAGTACTGCATAAAAAAGTAGGGAACAGGACTAGTACACAGAGCTAAGGCTGTGTTTCAGCATGATTGCTGGCTTAAACGAATCATCAAAATGACAAATAATTTGAAAGGAGTATAATGTTGTTTTTTTTCTATTGAATTATCAAAGAACACCCCATGTCGCCTTAGCTGAGATATTTAATGGAATTATTTTTCGTATACTTAATTTAGAACTACAATTAATTTAGAACTATAAATATTACTTTTAGAGATCAAATTTAAATGTGTGTAAGAATATAGCATGAGGTCTACAGAAATTCACCATGAAATGTAATGATGTTATTTTACAGATAAATATTACAGCAGTGAATCACACACATACATCTTACATTTTAAAGGATGTGAGAATAGATCAGAACCAGCAAAAAGTTCTAAAATGTCACTATAAACCAAATTAATTTTTAAAAAGTGGGTCGATAAAATGAAGTGAACTTAATGTCACGAAAAAAAATTAAAATTCTAAAGACATTTTAAACCTTATAGTACCCTTCATGCATACTCTCTCTTATTCACACATACGCGCGCGCACAGAGAAAAGAGATGGCTTGAATTAATTTACATAAAAACGCTTGGTATGTCACAAAACTGGTAAAATGAAATTTGATTTATGCATTAAATAACTATAGAGTTGTATTTTATGTTAATATCTCTTTCGAGAAAGTGTAGTATATCTGTTAAATTATATGTAATATTTACAAAATTTCACTACACACTTTTAATTGTGTTTTTATTTCGTCTGGAATAAGTTGCAAACAATTATAAAAGTGTTTACTGGTGGAAAGAGGTTTCTTAGTGATTTTATAATAATCATAAATTACACTTACAAGACATCAAGATAAAATATCTAGGTACGTTTATTTTAGCACAAAGCTACACGATATGCTACCTTCACTCTGTTCAACACTGGGAATCGAACCCCGGATTTTAGCATTGTAAGTCCGTAAACTTACTGCTGACCCACTGGAAAAAACTTAATCGTAAGAACTCCTTGTTAGTTTTACATGTAACTGCCACCAACAGAAACTTCAGATTACTGAGTGAGTGCCAAAGGGAATAACTTCTCAGAAATAAAAACATGTTGCAAAACGCTCTTCCTAGCTATTATCCGCTACAAAGATTTCCTTTTCGCCCCTCATCGTTCTATTCATATTAAAACAACTGCAGCTAGAATATCAGGTTTCACATATTTATAAGGTTTGTTTGTTTTGAATTTCGCCCAAAGCTACACGAGGGCTATCTGCACAACCGTCCCTAATTTAGCAGGGTAAGCTTGCAGGGAAGGCAGCTAATCATCACCACCCACCGCCAACTCATGGGCTACTCTTTTACCAACGAATAGTGGGATTGACGTCAGTTTATAACGCCCCCACGACTGAAAGGATAAGCATGTTTGGTGTGACGGGGATTCGAACCCGCGACCCTCAGATTGCGAGTCGAGCTTATATTTATAAGGATTAATATAAATATCAATATATTTTTAAACTTACAACCATCTATCGCTTCCTCTCAACGTCTAGTTAAGGTGGTTGTTTGTTGTTTAGATTCAAAAATGAATTATAGGGTCTTTTAACACTACATTTGAAAACCAACGGTAGCAGTTTAACGTTCAAAGAAACTCATGATAGACCTAGCAGGCATTTCATCACACTAATTGGAAGTGGCCATACACTTATTTTCAACAAGCCAAAAGAAAACTCCAAGAGTCAATAATAAATTAACTTCCTTCATAAACCAAAAATTTAAAATCCGTTGGCATTTGTTTAAGTTTACTTACATTTCTCAGTAATGTTATAAACTCGGATAAAAATGGGTAACACTGAAAGACAGTTGAGTTATAGCTCGATATACTTTGGTAATCTATTGGTAAAATTTTAATCAAGTTTTTCATATAACTGTAATTTTTCTTTTCTGTTTCCAAGGCATACTTGGTAATAATTTAAAATCGAATTCCAATATTATTTTAATGCCCTTTTCCATTTTTACTAATATTATATTTTATTTCCTTATTTGCAAAAGACTAATCGTTTATTGTTTCAGTCATTAATTCAAATTCATCACTTTTTCTTCAGACATTATGAAATTAGAATTACAAATTATCATCGCAGGATCGCTGTTTACTATTGTTAAAGCTGTAATGATAAACATTTTAGTTTAATTATCATTGGTCTAACCGACTTAATAAGTTTAGACATTGAAAAGCCCCTCTCCCCAGGACAGTGGCTTTAGGCAAATAAAGAATAGATCTTGCTTCGGATATTTTCTTAAAGCTACACAAAGGATTTTGTGCTAGCCGTCACAGAGTTTGAACTGACAGACAGATAGCCTACAGTACACACTGCTAACTCTTTAGCTACTGGAATCGATTAGTGGGATTTGACCGTCCCTCTTATAACGCACCTGTTACCCCAAAGTGTGTAGCAAGAATTTGTGGCAACGGGACTAGAACCATGGACCCTCGTATTCCGGCCAACTACTTAATAGGCCACGCCCGGCCCAAGAACGACTGAAAACGCTACTTTTACAAACCTTTAATTTAACACCCTTAATGGGATGGCTGCAAAGATTGTTTAAAAAAAATATCTGCAGTTTAACGTGATTATATATCAGATTTCTTAAGCTTGAAAAACTTTAAACTTCTATCAGCTTAGGCATTAAAGCATCACTAACAGTTTCAATGGCTTTGAATATTACGTTTATAAAGCATTTCACATTAACCTTTAATTGCTTTAAGTACAACTTAGGTGATTAGCTTTGGTTTCAAACGAAAATTTATTCTTGTACAAGTGGTCTCAAAATCTTAATGGGCTGACTAAGAGAGCTGAGCAAAAGTATCTGAATTAAAAGTCGATGAGTGTTACTGAGTATGCGAGTCCTAAAATAAATTATAAACTAATTTGTTTTAGTAAAATATCCAAATTTCTTGTTCAACTGTATTACATCAAACGAAAAGTTGCTTTCAAAATTACTTAGTAACATATCCCTAAAGTTAAAAGTTTTCAAACATTTTACTTAAATCATCTTACCTTTTTGAAAGTGTTTCTTATACTTCTAGATCTATTTTTCACCAATTTAAAATGTTAATCTAACTCTCTTAACTCTGAATTCCCATCTTGTTGCCCCTCAGTAGAACAGCGGTATGTCAGCGGACTTACAACGCTAGAATCCGGGTTTCGATACCCGTGGTGGGCAGAGCACAGATAGCCCATTGTGTAGCTTTGTGCTTAATTACAAACAAACAAACCCATCTTGTTGCTTCATTGTTTAGCGCCCCCAGTGTCTGCGGACTTATACTGCTAGAAACCGGGTTTCGATACCCGTGGTGGGCAGAGCCCATATAGCGCTTTGTGCTTAATACCAAATAACAACATCATTGTTTTGTGGATGATAACGCTCTCATGGACACTATAGCACCTCTTCCTAACACCTCTATTCATACACTTTAATAAATACTTTCAGAAATATTTAACAAACTAACTTAATCCATATTAAAAAAGCTATTCGCTTAAAAAAGTCTTATTGGTCTTCCAAGGAGAAAATCCATAGTTTACGTTTAGAAGTATTCATTTAGTGTTAAATTACTATGATTTCGCGTAAAAAAGTTTATAGGTGAATAAAAGTCTTTCAAAAATCTTACATTTCCAGAAAAGACTCATGCACTTGCACATATACAGTACTGCAGGGATTTTTTCGAGTTACTTGTATCAGTCAATTTATTTAATTTTATTAGTTAGCTTGAGTTGTTTTGGATTTGTGTTATATTCTAAGTAATTTATTCTGTTGTGAGATTTCCGAAATAAAAAACAGAAAATCTTTCAAAGCTGTAATTTTCAGGACTTTTTGAAAATTTTGTAGGAGGATTTTGGACTCCTGTAGTGTGTGTTTTTTATCATTACCGAAATGATTTATTTTAAATAATTTTATTTACTTTAGAATCATTTTCAGGCTGTTAATGAGGCTTTAAAATCACGAAACAAGAATATTTGGAATTGTGATAATTATTTAGGCGCCTCTTTTTAAACGTTTATAATAAACGGAAAGCGAAGGCTGTTTATAAATACATATGATTACCATTAATAAATACCTAAATAATATTCATACCTAATTTTTTAATCAAGAAAACGTAGAGTTTGTCTAAAGTGGTGAGATTAATATTCTCGATAACTTAAGTTTTTTTATTGTGTCCACTGCAAATTGAAGCACATTTAGAATATTAAATAGAATACAAGCATATCTGTATGGTTATATAAGTATATTCATAAAATAGCATCACTGTCATGATTAAGTGTTGCAAGATATATCTAAAGATTTATCTTCGCTTTAAATTTGTAAGACATGCGACTCTCAACGTTCTCATTGCCTACGCCCACATCGCCCATTGTATTATGTACCTAAACACTTTCGTTTTAACGTAAAATTACACTTCTTCGTTCTGTGTTTTTATACTGTAATGTGCCACACCCTCGCCTTCATTAGAATTTTTTTATAACAATTACTTTAATATTAGGTTGTCAAATACTTAATATTTGTTACCAAAATGAATAAAGTTTTTTTGCGTCACTATTATTGATCCTTCAATTTTTTTTTTCATTTCAGTTATTTTTTATAACTTTCTTATTCACGTTTCTTGTTACATATCGTATACTAAATTATCATAAATGCCTGTTTTATTTAATCCCCTGATGCTATGGTATTGTAAATACTATTTTTGCTCACAACTGTCTTACTAGTTCAGAGCTAATGGGCCACAAAAAATTACCATAACTCAAATGAAAAAAAACCTTGCAAAAACCCACAATATGGTTATTTAATCGAAACATTCATGTTTTTTTTGTTACTATTTTAGGGAAAAAAAGCATTATTATCATTATGATGCATATATATATATATATATAATTTCTTTTGTAAGACTGTCATGAAGCTAGATCTTCTGACAACATATATACACAACTATTAATACTTATAATTGCTTGTATCTGTAAAATTCATTTTTAAACTTAAATACATTTATTTTTCACACTCTAAACGGATGACACCCGTATTCATTTTATAACTTTTAGCGCATTTTTTTTTCTACGAGGAAACACATACAAAATTTTCTGGCATCTATTGGGATAGGATTAACAATGCCAAGGATAGAGTCTTATCAGAATATCCACTTATCATAACGACTAAACTATGACAGAGCATTTAACGACTAACTAAGTACAGAGATAATAAAAGTCCAACTAATTAGAGAGCTGCAGGAATCGCATAAAATACTAAAGTACACCAGATGTCTTTCGCCATGTTACTTGTTCGTCACACACCTTAAGATATCAGGTTATAATGATCAACATCTTCGTCTTAAACGTTTGAAAGCTTTTGTCCTTTGGGTCCATATTTTGGCAGAAGTAAAGAACTGCTTGAATTTCCACTACCGTTAAGCGTCTCTGTGACGGTGTGCAAAGGTACATTAATATTTCCGTTGAAAGTAACTCGGGTATCGGCGTATGGTTCTGAGCAGCTGTTGCGAGCAACCGCTTGGTGGCGCTGTTCGTAGAGTTTCATAGTATCTTCTGGTAGTCGGCAGAAACACAGCATGAATACTTTCTTAAACCCTTGACGAAACCTGTACATAAAAATATAAAAACCAAATGATAAAAATTTAAATTTCTACCACTATGTAGAGATAAAACAAAAAAAGGTAAACAACTTTAAAATTTGATGTGATTTCAACATCATATGGATAACTTTTCCAAAATTAATTTTTAAGCGAGAAATACGCCGATGTTTGAAATATATGTTTGTTTGTTTTTGAATTTCTCGCCCTTTCAGCCGTGGGGGCGTTATAATGTGACGGTCAATCCCACTAATCGTTGGTAAAAGTGTAGCCCAAGAGTTGGCGATGGGTGGTGATGACTAGCTGCCTTCCCTCTAGTCTTACACTGCTAAATTAGGGACAGCTAGCGCTGATAGCCCTCGTATAGCTTTGCGCGCATGTTTGGTGTGACGGGGATTCGAACCCGCGACCCTCAGATTGCGAGTCGAGTGCCGTAACAACCTGGCCATGCCGGGCTTGAAATATATGAAGTGACCAAGATAGAAGTATATCAACATCGATTAGTGTATCAATATTAAGAAAACATCTAGTTGATTAGAGTGCAAAACTTCCCCTAACAAAGAGGCAAAAACGTAGTCTGGTTGTATAAGTAGATAAACGTCTTTTAGGATATTGCAAACAGGATATATGAAGACAAGTGGGGCCGAATACGGCCGAGCGGTTTGTGTATCGGACTGTGAATCTGAGGTTCAGTGGTTTCCGTCCCGTTAGCGCAAGAAAAGAAAAGATCATATAAGTAGTATTATAAGAACTTGCAATTTTTCATATTATAAAACACTTATTTTAAGTCCTTAATATAAGTTCAGTCTGGAAGTCTGGCTTAAAAGATTTAACGCTAGTATTTATCGAAGAACTCCATTAGTATAAGGTCCAAATGTTTTTTAAATAAGTATTGTTTAACAATAGAAGAATACCTAGTAGTAAAGAACAACGAAAAATGTTAGTGCCCAAATCATAAGCTCCGCATGTATTTTGAAAAATATGTTCTCTTTCGTTAACAATGAAATATCTCAGTGTTGTCACATTTTAAACTTGATAAAATACACTTCGTCTTACACGAGTTCAATTAGCATGTGTATAATACACTGGTTTATTAGGAATTATCTAACCTTTCAGACTTGGGCTTGACATGAGCTACAGATGTAAATCAGATTGATCACATGATGTGTTAGGTAATACCTGCAGCACTGGGACAAGTACATGCGCAGTCGGTATAACAAATATGGTAAAGGCAAAGATACTGCAGCGTTCGAAGAAAGCATGATAGTGGGTACACGTCTAGCAGTTACCACAATGGACAAGATAGTTTGATTAGTAGGCTGCTAAAAGACATCAGTCATTCAAGTTTATCGCAATGGTAAAATGTGAATAAAATTTATGCTGCGATGGGAATTGTGGCCAAAAAAAGAAGTAGTGATAGAATGAGAAGACAGACGGTTAGACAGGATGGTAAAATACAACCATCATCATACTACAGACCAAGTGACAGACACATTCCTTGCATGACACCTTACATTCATCTTTAGTCATATATTGAGAAAAAAAATGCAACCTATGGTCGAAGGAGATAACTACATAAATCACTATACTCCGTTAACAACAACAAGGAAAAATACCGCAAATGATGCAAATGATGTAAGGAGTGCAAAGACTGGATCTAATGAGGACTAGTAAAATCTTATGGTTGGACGAGTCGTGTCTTACCCCCATTTTTTTGCAGAGATGGAAAAGGACAGATTTGGAGAAATCCACACGAATCACTCGCCCCCTCTTTCGTGGTCCAAATTATTCATGCTTCTGGTAGTGGAATTATGGTCAGGGACATGTTTTCCTGGCCATTGAGAAGGCAAAATGAATGCTACAGGATACTGGAGAATAATTTCTGATCAGTGTATCCAACAGTGCTTCATGCGTACCTTGATGGAGATGGCTAATACCAAGATGACAATGCTCTCATATAGCATGCCCAGTTTGTACGTGCATGGTTTGAGAAACATTACGGAGACCTTAGGAATCCCTCATGGTCAACACAATTTCCGAATCTTAATACAAATAAGCATCTGTGGGATGAATTTAAAAGACGAAATCGTCTTCACGATCCCCTGTCTACCTCGCTCCATAAATTGTTTACAACATTAATTAATGAAGGGGGGAAAACTCTCTCATGACATATTCCAGTACCTTGTGGTATCCCGGCTGTTATTTGGGAAAAAGGTGGTCCAACCCATAATTAGGTATAACTCCTATTAAAGTGGCCAGCCAGTGCGTATATGATGTTGTACCTATGCACTTTACCCTATGAGTGTCTCAACACATTTTATAATTATATTTATTACACGAGTTCTTTTTTAATTTACATCTAACTTTACGAATATTGTGACAACACCTTTATAAATATATTTGCATCTAGCTTTACGCACATTGTGACAACACCTTTATCAATGTATTTGCACCTTACTTTACGAATATTGTGACAACACCTTTATCAATGTATTTGTATTTTACTTATGAACATTGTGACAATACCTTTATCAATGTATTTGTATTTTACTTTACGAATATTGAGACAACACCTTTATCAATGTATTTGCATTTTACTTTACGAATATTGAGACAACACCTTTATCAATGTATTTGCATTTTACTTTACGAATATTGAGACAACACCTTTATCAATGTATTTGCATTTTACTTTATTCTTGAAGTACTTTATCTAGTTTTTGTTTATGAAAGTATCGTTTTTACTTCACATTTATCTTATCAAATGTTTGATTTAAAGGATGTGTAGATGTAGTTCCATCTTAAGTCTGTGACAGCACACGAATCAAACAAATATTTATGTGGACCTATTCGTTTCTTTCTTTATTGTTACTTTCATTAACAGTTTTGAATTTATTTATATATTTTTAATTTTCTATTATAGAGATTTTTTGCAACATTAGCTTAGTATATATATTTAGTACTGATACGCTGGTTGAACTTCGTGAGATATCATCGAGTTTGTACTTTATAGCCGAAAATGTCGCTAACAGCGAGGGTTAGTAACTCATGTAACAATGCATTCCCATATTTATGAGGACAAAAGAAAGAAGAGTATATTTAATTAACTATACACAGTACTAAGGTGTTTTCATTTTATTTTTGATCTAAGTATGTAGTTTTCTCTGATTGAAAGTTAATGTCATTTAATTATTTTTGTTAAATTATGAAAATGAGTTTTTGAATAACTCACAAATGAAACATAATTCAAAAAGTTTTATAAACTTGTTGTTAATTTACTTTTGCAGTTCAGATGTGTCTGGCTCACTGTGGTTAGTAACATCTTCATTTACATGGTTTATATTTTAGGAAATATATTTTTGAAAGATATACAAGTCGTCTAGACTGATCGAAGCACGAGAATTCTACTATTCTATTAAAGGCGACACTAAAGTATCAGTCAATAATGCATATTCCCACCCAACGTGCTATGAATTAGATACAAGGCAGTAGTTCTGTCTGACTGCTTACAAAAGTAACATATCTCTACAGAAACCCAGTATTAGGCTACAAGACCCGTCACTGTGATGGACGACGTGGTTCTTGTGAATGTCGAAAGGATTAGGTGAGAAGTGCAGCAAAGTAAGAAAGAAATACTGACTGCTGCTTTGTAAAACTGAACATTTATATCACGTAACATGTACTTCAATGACTTTTATTCTATTCTATTAATGAGAAAATTCCTAACCATATTGAAATTCATTCAAACAACAACAAGTTCATTAATCGTTAATTCACAATTATTAGAAATCCAAAAAATACGAAGAGTTTGACTTAAGATGACAGAATTTTTTTTCAAAAGACTAAGATAATTAAGCTGTTTCTTAGAAAGATAATATTATAAAGATATACGCGATAGTTAATAAATAATATTAAACAAAATGCAATAAACATATTAAGATACTGACATGTTTGGACTGTTGATTGAAATTTACTTGCACACACACACACTTTTCTACTCTTTCCTAGTCAAAGCCAGTTTGAAGCTCTATCTACGGAGGATTGAGTAAGTTATATTAACATAATTTCGAATATGTAAACCAGCAAGTCGTGTGACAACCACAGCCGATATAAAATCACGATGGAACGACATTTGTCACAAGTACATTTTGACATCACTGAAGGTCAAATCCCTCCTATGCCGAGACAGCACTTTGAAACTGGTGCTGAGCTCCAGTTTTATAGGCATAAGCGAATGAATATGGTGACTCCACTTCCCCAAATGAGTTGCCAGTCCATCGCCAGTTAAACACCTAGCTAACAGCTGGAACAATTGTGGTAAAATGTATTGTTTAAGGACACAACAGCATATTGCGTGCAAGTCTGGAACTCGCAACAAACGGACTAAGAGTTCAAAGCGCGCATTCACTGTACCACGCTAATCCCTGCACTTTGACATAGTTTGGTGTTACGTAGATGGTGTGATGCCACTGAAAATTGACATTCCTTATCAACGCAAATTATTCCTTCACGGAAACTTTCGTAGAAACGTTGCTCAATAATGACTCACAGTTTGTCTGAACATCATTCCAAGTAATGTAAATATCAGTACAAACATGAGAGCAGAAAGCGCCCCTCACCATCAAAAGTCCTTTCCCAACCTATCATGTTCTGCTTCCGTGTCTTTGGTACATAGCTCCTCAAGTTCAGGGATAGCTACGCAAATTGCACGATGGCTTTTTTGATGGTGTAGTCTAAAGAGAATCACCTACTGAAGAACGTACTGATCTGTACGTCATTAAGAACGATGCTCTAAATGTTGTGCGTTACAGAGAGTATATTCAGAGAACTGAATGGCCAGTTCATCCCACAGTACACGTCTGACATCAATTTCTGAGATGTATTTTACGTCTATGCAGAGACATTATAGATATGTGTTGGCTGCTCGGGGAATACATTCTCGATTTTATTGTGGACAGAAACAATTTGTGAACTTTTATTTTAGATATCCTCAAGCAAAGGATTAATTTCTGATATTCTCAAATTAGGAGAATATGATATATCAAATAGCAGTTCTATGACCACAGATGTACGTGTTTTATAGTTCTATTAATAGCTTATGATATATAACTTAGCCATTTACAAAATGTATACCAGTAGGTTATTTATTCCTTAATAAGGATTCATTATTTATGTGTACAATATAATTCTGTATTAAAATTTCTATGAATCTTACTTTATTATTTAATAATGTATAAACCTATATTTTAAAAATAAATGAATAATTTATCTAAAGGAATATTAAGGCTATTCAACGTTTTAACAGTTTCATATAAGTTAATTTGATGTTAATGAAAACAGTTTACGATAAAAGTTATTTTTCAACGCTATAAACCGGGTATTGATACCCGTGGTGGGCAAAGCACAGATAGCCCAATGTGTAGTTTTGCGCTTAACTACAAACAAAAGTTATTTTCATATATGTGGAGCGACACCTAACAGTGATCATATTATTATACTTATATTGTTAAAATGATAGCGTGAGTTATAAGAGCTTTTTTTTTCGCTCCAATATTTCAGTGAAATTTTCTGAAAACTTTTAATTTAACGTTATGCTCTTTACAAAGATAAGATGGAAGCTATTGTTTTCTTAGCTTTACACACTATTTTTGTACTAAAGCTACTGAAAATCCCCTTTTTAATACGTCAATAGATGTCCAAACAAACGACCTGTGACAAAAGATCTGAATGCTACAGCTCAATGTGTAATTTTATATAAATTTTCACGTCATAACGGATTTTATATTTTAAAGGTGCGCTCATAAAATCGATGATACATAGGAGTTGAAATTCTTAGAGGCTCTTGCAGTTTGCGACTAAAAACCTTGGGTTAATATATACTTTTCTTAATTCAACGTATTCAAATAAGTAACGTCTTTATTTTATACACAAAGAAAATATCTTAGTTAAAAGTAAATATTGCATTTTTTTCGTGACAGTGTTACTTCGGTGAAATACAAGCTGAATATATCGTGTAATGTTTAAGCTAGTGAAATATTGTCTACTTTGCTTAGGTTAGTCATAGTAAGGTGTTTCAGATCACTAACATAAAATATCCACCCTCTGCCACGGAGTTTAAAGTCCCCTCATCATTTACAGATGCTCCACACTGCCGATCAAACTCATAAAGGGGGGGGGTCCATATTTAAAAAAAACAACCTTAGGACACCTGACTGAGTAGATGTGCCTAGTTTTTCCGCTACCTTGGGGGCATGAACACAAAATCCAGAGCCAGGTTCAAGTTGTGACCTTGCGAACCTACTCCTAGACCCCCCCAATCAGTCTTTGGTGACCTTGCGTTTTAGCCCCCTTGAAAGGGCTACGCCATGTAGATACGGACACCCCCCGAGGCCGCACGAGAGGTTTTGTCTTGTTAACTCCAACACTGTGTGAAGAGTTTGCGAACAAACAAACACACAACATTAATTGATGTAGGATTATCAATTTTACTATGAAGTTGTACCGTATCTATAGTACCCTGAAACGTATTATAGATAGGTTATTAATCACCGTATAACTTGCATTTTAATCTTGTTGTTTGAACGATATCTGTATATCACCCCAAATGATTAGCCCCTCTTCTTATTTTCATATTATGTATCGAGTTTCTGCTCAAGTGTCTTTTTTGTTTTCAAATTACTAAACACATGATTTTTAGTAAGCAAATCACGTTTTTTTTTAAAGAAGTGGACATATAATGATTACTGTTTTAATTCTCAGATAAATTTTTAGTAACATTTTTCTAGAGTTCTGTTTGTTTGTTTTGAAGTTAAGCACAAAGCCACGCAACGGGCTATATGTGCTCTTCCCACCGCGGGTATCGAAACCCAGTTTCCATCGGTGCAAGTCCGCAGACATGCCGCTTTAATCTAGCCGTCATTACTTTTGTATATATCGAAAATAGCTTAAAGCTGATGCACGTTATTTTAAAAGTCGAAACTACCTTCGTCTATCGTTATCAAACATTTCATTCAATACTTTGGAATAAGTATTTAAATTGATGCGCAACCAAATTTTACTCTCCGTCTAAATCCTATCCTACTTGGCGCCACCGTGTGCCAACTTCTATCCCTGTTTTTCCTGATATTAATTACAAAACTAAAATGCATTAATCTATCGATTTGGGTAAATTTCACAAAAGGAGTGAAGTAAAAATTACACGCTTCCTTACTATTGTTGAAAATCAAAGTTGTTGTTTTTTTAGAAAATATAAGTTTAGTTTTGTTGACGTTAAACCCGTATTTATTATGTCAAAAGATAAGATATGGAGAGGAGAGGATCTCAACAGGATAGGATTTGAACAAGATGTAGTTTGGACAGGATTGGATTTGGCAGCACACCTTGTTTAATTTTACAAACTTATTACAACAAGAACATTTCTTCAGTAAAGAATATTACCAGACAGTGAGGCAGAACCAGCAAATTGTTCTAGATAGTAAAATTGTTGTCTATCTGTTACCCATCACAACCAACGAGGAATAACCCCTTATTTGCAGTAGTTTTAACACAAGTAAAATATAAACACTGTACACTTTAAAAACCACACCTTGTTTGTTCACTGACACAAAGCTGTACAATGGACTACCTGTGTTTGACTACCGCAGGGATCTAACTCTAAATTTTAGCATTATAAAGCCTCAAACTTATCTTTGAGCCAACATGGACACTATACTTTGTACTATAGATAATTAGCTTTATATAGTTAAAGGTGAAAAAAACACGTCTATATGCAAATGTACATATCCACATATGTATTCATAATTATTTAAATGCACTACATGAAATCATTATTACACATTTTGTGCTTCCTGACATATAATTTATCTTCTACTTTTAGCTGCATTGCAAATAACGATCTAACAAATTAATTATACAATTTTCTAAAACTTGCAATTTGCTGGTTAATGGAAAGGCAGAAAATGGTAATGTAGTTTTATAAGTATCCATCTAATTAGTACACTACTTATGTCGACTACTAGTTACCATTTGCGCCATTTTTTTAGACTAGCTCACGTAAAAGCTTTAATAAAGTTGCTTTAATGAAAACTATATATAATACAGTCTTTTTTATTCAATTTAAAATGTGATTGTTTTATAAAAAAACGATACAATAATATTATCCATTTTGAAACTATTCTTTTAACTAAATTTTGCTTTTAATAGTTGTAGTTTAAGGAGGTTTCAGACAAAGGTCGCAAGATAGACAAAATATTTCAATCTGAACAAAACACAATGATAAGTTACATGAAATAGCATAATACAGAGTCTTAGCAGATATGATATTTACAATTGTATGTTTCAAAAACCTGAAATTGGGAATAAAAGGATATGAAAATGAAGAAACGCCTGTTTATCTATTGTAGAATGTCTATGAGACGAATTTTCTATGTTTCGTGTTCCTTCTGTGGGTAGTTTTTTTCTTCAGAAACTTATTAAAATAATAGTCTGAAAATCGTCTTAAACAGAGTTTAAAGTTAGACTAAATTATTTTTTTTAGTCTCGGTCAAAAATATATTGATCCATCTAACTATAAGAATGAAATATTTCTGAAAATAAAATTTCTTGTCTAGAAACAACATAAAATACTAAAATTAGTCATACACATCTATGCATTTTAGAGATTTAACTTGTTAATCTGTTAAAATAAATATATTTAGATTCGTTTAAGCCAGAGCTTTGATCCTTTACCTGCTGTTCATCCAACAGTAGATGATGGGGTTGTACATTGAGTTGGACATAGCAAGCCAATATATTCCAAGGTATATATGTTGGATATTTTTGTAGCTGGTAATTTCTCTATGATGGTGAGCCAGAAGGAAGTAGGTGTGGTAAGGAAGCCAGCACACAGCAAATATGAACACTACAACAATCATCATCTTCACGATCTTAAAAAAACATATTAAAAAATTAATAAAATATGACATGGAGAACAGAACATGGCATACGGTAATGCTCAACTATTGTCATGTGAATTGGTAACAGTCTATAAAAAATATATCTGTTCGTATACACAGAGAGATGAGTACGTAATGCTAAAACGATTTTGAGTATGCAACTTAGCAAGGCACAAGACAACCATGTCCGATATAAAGTCGAGAGGAAAGGAATATATCAGAACTACATTTTGACATTGTTTGGCGTTATGTAGGTAGTGTGATACCACCGAAAATTGGTCGCTTTTGGGAAGAATATGTAATAGCTCATTTGACGTAAAATATTAATATATTCAGATCGTGGACTTAAAGTTCTCAAGATGGGGTTAGTCGTTGAACTTTATGGCATCGGAACATAAGAGAATATGGACCAGCATGATGTACTGGAACCATTCAGAAATATACCTGGTAGATACCGTACCCCAGCTGTGGTAAGTAATGTGCGGTATCTTTTAATAGATGAGAACCCATAACTACAAAAGCAAGAGTCGAAAGTCGTCCATGTGCCTCGTATGGAAAAAAGAAGACATAAGCACTCAAGTTATTTCCTGACTTTTATGTTCAACTGTCGCATATCTCAAGCAGCTAGAGAATTAAATGGATAATCATGCTATTATATACGAAGACATATCGGTAAGGTAGCAGGATGCAGTGCCTATAGATTTCTGTGTGATGGAGTATAGAAAGCATGCGCGAGGACTGGTGTGCTTTGAACATTATAACCTTACGAAGGAGCCTTTGCAATAGAATTTACACAACAAGTCTATTGTAGAGATTCACGATTGTCAGGTAGAGCATGAATAGACTTGGAGACACGGACTTTAATAGCGTGATGAGGCTCCAGATCGTTTTAATATAATATACTCAACCTCTGTAAGTATAAGTATAACATAAAAATCTCTGAATTAAATATCATTAAACACCAAATAAGATGGCAATAATAATAATAATGTGAGTCACCAAGACTAATATTATATTAATAAAATGATTCCACTCATATTATCTATTTTTTGTGTAAATTAAAACTTATATTTATAAACGCACACGTAAAACCAAGATATTTATACTTTTCTCGTGGAATCTCGTATCTTCCATACGTGGCAGTGTTTGTGCATGGTAATCATCAGAATATGATTCTAAAGTCTTCACGTCTTTATCTTTGATTTAGTGGTTTTCTTCTTTTTTTAGTGTGTTTGTAAGGAAATAAATTTATGCATAGGTACTCAGTCTTTTCTCTGTCACTTGATAATTTCCATCTATACCAGTGTGTGTGTGAAGAAATCCTATTTATATTAGTCTAGAATCCTTACCTTTCTTTTCCATCTGTACTAGTGTATTTATAATGAAATGTTGAACTTATAAACCTACGATATCCATACCTTTCTCTTTGACTTGATGGCTTCTATTTGTGCAGCTGTACACTCACCAATACTTTGACTGCCCCACAGTTCTTGACCAACTCGAAAATAGGTGAATGTCATTGAGGTAATAGGTAAAATATAAGCCAAAACCAGAATCATCACGTTATAACTGTATTGTAAAATCAAAGAATAATAAAACGTTATAACTCAAGCAAATAATGTTTCATTAGAAACACATAAACAGTGTAAAGTTTATTATATGTATTGATTTACTAGTTACTATTTCAATTTTTCATTGATATGCACATATACATCTATATGAATAGAAACATAACATCAAAACATGATAGAAACATAACATTGATCATAAGTTGGCGTTAACACCAACACCAAAGAACAGTCATGAAAACAAAAATAATAGAAAATCGCACCAATATCGCTTATGAGAGTTATTATCTGTTTTAGGTAGATGGTGTTTTTTGTGTTTTATGTTTGTTCATATGGAAACCAGTACTGTTATTGTCAAGTACAGTTTTACTTTTGAACAGTGTTAAATGTATATTTAGTTTTTATGTTTAAAAACTATGTTATTTATGACATTTATGAACCCTTCATATCTTTAATGACACGAATACGTAAGTATGTTTTAAACTCAGTTCTGTATAGTATGGAAAAGTATAACTCTATTTTTTCTGTATTTATAAGCCTTGTTTCTTAAATAAAATATTTCTAAAATTCTCCCTACCGTTTTTTATATCTCCTATTAGTATTTCTTGTTAAATTTTCTTAGGGATGTCATAATTTGACAATTTAAAACATCTGTATCAGTTTTCAACTAATATTATATTCCTCTAGATAATCTTTTTCTATTGAATGTAATTAATTATAAAAGGTTACAAAATAATCCATACCATTCCTTCATCGATATATACTAGAGTTTGCGTTTAAAATAAATTTTCTTTAACCCAGTTTATTTTATTTTTTTTCTCTCTGTGAAAACTGTTTTCATCCGGCAAATAATCTACAACGGTACTATGTTGTTGTTGTTGTTTTTGTTATGTGCCTACAACATTTTGATCGCTGTGTGGCATTTGCGATCTTATGGTTTCGCAGGATATCACGATTCTATGCCCCAAATCCTCCAGGTTATTTGGACGTGTGATAAATACCGAGGGATTTATTCAAAAGAAATACATCTAATGGCATAAGATCAGGAGAGCTGGCTATATCACTGGCTTAGGACACCCTATTCTTGCGAAAAACGACCTTTGGAGTGTTGCCTGACATCCTATGCGTAGTGCGGCGATGCATGCCCAACTAAAACAACGTGCTCTCTAGGATGCTTTGCATGATTTCCGGGTTAACATGTCTTACGAAAGAGCAAGGCAGCCTTTTCCAGTCAGTGTCCAATCCATGAAAAATGTACCAACAACATGTCATCATGACGGGCTACATCAGCCCATCATTTTGTCTGCCCTCCGGTCTCTGGTTCCTGCTATCCAATGTATATTTTCTTAGGACCAGTACCGTAATGTTGGCGATTATATTTGCATAACTTTAACTATTCACAAAACTCCACATGTTGGCATGAGTAATCTTCTATAAACTTCTAGGAAAAGTTTAACTTTTAAGGATGGAGGTTACGCTGTTTCAGTATCTGAATCACGCTTTTACCTTGTTCCTGCTTCGCACGCAATTTGTCGAATTGACCTGGTTGGGTTTGCTAAGATTCCGAAAGATACAGTTCATGAAACACCTACAGGGAAAGGAAATAATTCATGAAACACAGACAGGGAAAGGAGACAGTTCATGAAACACAGACAGGGAAAGGAAATAATTCATGAAACATAGACAAGGAAAGGAAAGGAAACAGTTCATGAAACACAGACAGGGAAAGGAAATAATTCATGAAATACAGACAGAAAAGGAGACAGTTCATGAAATACAAACAGGGAAAGGAAATAATTCATGAAACACAGACAGGGAAAGAAGACAGTTCATGAAACACAGACAGGGAAAGGAAATAATTCATGAAACACAGACAGGAAAGGAGACAGTTCATGAAACACAGACAGGGAAAGTAGACAGTTCATGAAACACAGACAGGGAAAGGAAATAATTCATGAAACACAGACAGGAAAGGAGACAGTTTAGGAAACACAGACAAGGAAAGGAGACAGTTCATGAAACACAGACAAGGAAAGGAGACAGTTCACGAAACACGGACAGAACTTGGGAAAATCATAATAAGAACGCGACTTAGAAATATCATAGTAGACGTATTCTCAGCGTCGCCATATATTAAGGTCTATCTTGTATGTATAAGCTTCTGATAGTTATCTTAAGTGATTTTACGCAAACATCGAATTTTCCATGTGAGGTTTAGTAGTTCTTGTTAGTCTCCCACTGAGTCAGCGGAAGGTTTACGGACTTACAACGCTAAAATCGAGTGTTTGATTCCTCTTCGTTGACAAAGCGTCAATAGCTCATTGTGTAGCTTTGCGCTAAAACAAATAAATGAACAAGTTATATTATTTCAGAATCTGTTATGACATCTTATCGATAGGATGTTGATACTGATATAATACAAAATATCAAACTATACTTATTGTGTATTTCAGTATTATATGAGACTAATCTACTGTCTTATTGATATCGAACTATCTAACGGAGTGTTTTAGTTCTATCTATTTATTTTAGTTATATATAACTTATAATACCGAAATTAAGATCAAGTGTTAGAAGTCCCTTCTTTTAACACGATGTATCGTGTTAAGTGCACCCCCTTATAATCAGATAGGCACTGATATATGTATATATATAATTATAAAGAACACCAACTTACGTATTTTATTGCATACGTAGTAAACCACCAATAACATACCCATACTAGAATATGTAGTAGATCATCAATAATATACACATACTAGAATTTCTGGTAAACCATCAATAATATACACATACTAGAATATCTG